ATCAGCCATCAGGGAATGCAAATCAGTACCACCATGAAATACCACTTTGCACCCACTAGGATGGCTATGATTATAAAGATAGATGATAAATGTTAATGAGGATGTGGAGAAATTGGAACTTTCATACCCTTGATGGGAATGTAAATGGTACAGCTGTCTTGGAGAGCAGTGTGGCATTTCCTGAAAGGTTAAATATAAAGTTACTATATAACTCAGCCATTCCACTCCTAGATATATAGCCTAAGAAATGAAAATATATGTCCACACAATAACTTGTACATGAATATTTATGGCAACATTATTTATAATAGCTAAAAAGTGGAAGCAACCTATGTCTATCAATTAACGAATGGGTAAATAAAATTTAGTGTATCCATAAAATCGAAAATTATTTAGCCATTAAAAAGGAATGAGGTACATGTTATAACATGGATGAACCTTGTAAATGTTGTGCAAAAGGAAAGAATTCAGTCGAAAGACCACATATTGTATGATTCCATTTATTTGCATTGTCTAGAATAAGCAAATCCATAGAGACAAAAATAGATTTCTGGTTTTCTTAGGGCCACAGGGAGTGGGGTAGATAGGGTAGTAGAGGAAGGGGTATGGGATTTCTTTGAGAGGGTGATAAAAATGTTCTAAAATTGATTGTCATGATGGTTGCAAAACTCTGTGAATATACTAAAAACCATTTGTATACTTTAAATAGAATTATGTGAATTATCTCAATAAAGCATATATTTAAAAAATTAAAGATAAGTGTTGGTGAGGATGCAGAGAAAAGAGGACTGTTGTACACTGTTGGTGGGAATGTAAATTAGTACAGCCATTATGGAAAACAATACGGAGGTTCCTCAAGAAACTAAAACTACCATATGATCCAGCAATCCCACTTTTGGGTATATATCCAAAAGAACTGAAATCAATATGTTGAAGGGATATCTGTGCTCCCCTGTTCATTGCAGCATTATTCACAATAGCCAAGATATGGAATCAACCCAAATGTTTATCAGTGGATAAATGGATAAAGAAATTGTGGTATGTACACACAATGGAATACTGTACAGCCTTAAAAAGGGGGGAAATCCTGTCTTGGGACAACATGGATGAACTTGGAGAACATTATGCTAAGTGAAAGAAGCCAGGCACAGAAAGACAAATACTGCATGATCTCACTTTTATGTAAAATGTAAAAAAAAATACGAGTAGAGAGTTGATGGTTACTAGAGGTGGAGGTGGGAGGCAGGAGGAGAAAAGGAATGAGAAATTGTTGATCAAAGGGTAGAAAGTGTCAGATAGGAGTGTAAGTTTTGAGATCCGTTGCACAACAGGTGACTATAGTCAA